CGTTGTGTGTGAGTTTAAGGTATATAACATAGAGATTTGATACATTTAAATTACAACGTGATTACTGGTGTCTCATTAGCTGACACCTCTGTGTCACATTATTAGCATTAAAATTATTATCAATTAAAATCTTATCCCTTAGTTTAAATGTTTCCAATACAGTTTTCTTGTTGATAATCACTGTGCTGTGTATTAAATAGTCTCTGGGACTTACTTTTCTACTAGTTCCAAGCCATTCTTTTCAAGCATAATTCTGATAGTGTCACTTCCGTGCTCAAAAATATTCAGTGGGTTCCTCTTGCCATTTGAATGAGTGTGTATAAACTGCTCATCTTAGCATTTAAAGAGTTTTGTCATAGAATGTTTCCCCTCTTATCCACCAATACACATACTCCACAAGGAACAAACCCCCTTTTGTCTCTGGCACCTAACAGAATGTTATGTACTTGGTGGGCACTCAGTAAATATTTGTTCGAGGAACCAATGCATCTTCTAATACGGTCAGATCATAGTTGATAAATCTGCATGTGCTATTCATTTCTCCAACCCAGAACAGTAGCTCCTGCTGCACTGCCTTCTCAAAATGTACAGGCCTGGGGCCCATCGTAGAAGATTCTGATCCATTAGGTGAGGCTTCCTAAAATACATAAGCTCAGGTCTATAACATGCCTTCCTCATTTCTGCAGGTCAAACACTAACCCATCTTTATTGGATATCCTCCTTCTAAAGTCATTCCCAGGCCTGTCATGCCTGATGGTTCCATCATGGTCCTAGCCTCAGCTCATAGGAGGGTGTGGGCAGAAAGGAACAGTCACCTAAGTCAGGCTAAGCCAATCAGGTGATTTCCCTGAGAATATAAACCATGTCATGGAAGGCAGAGGCAGTCCGAGGGTGGCGGGTGCTTGAAACTCAGGTTTGGACGTGGTGCTGGCAGCCACACATGGTCATAAGTGAGCAGAGAGAGCCAACCTGTTGGGAGGCCAGTGGAATAAATATGTAGAGGGAAGTAGGAAAGACTGTGGTCTCAGAGGGAGGGGGAGGTAGAGAGCAAGAAACTGCTTGATGACATCCCAGTTCTGAGAAGCCCCGCGGGGCACCTGGGTTCCCGCTCATGTGACCCTTTTAGTCACTGGAGCCAGCTTGCAGGATCCCTGACCAGGAGACCATCTCTGCAGGCCTGCCTCAGATTCCTCCCCGGCTGTGCAAGTCCCCAGTCCACCCACCTGCGGGGTCCTCTCACTGCTCATCTCTTCAGGTGTTACTGTGTCAGGGGGACTGGGAGGCTTTACCCTGAACTAGTCCATAAATAATCACGTTGGCCAAAGAACCAGAAATGGGAAGGGCAGGGAAGCACGTTGCAGGGCAGGGAAGCACGTTGGAGAAGAAGGAAGAAACCATTAAGGGGAGAGGCACTCTTCTGTACAGAGGAGGGGGAACCTGAGGAGACCTATTGGGTGAAGAGTCCAGGTCTCCCTTCCCTCCCCCCCAGACTCCTGTATACCCTGGGGGCGCCTGCCCAGAGCAGCTGGGGAAGGGTCTTAGCAGCTCCCCAGCCAGGGAATAAGTGTTGCCCAAAGTGACTTCCAGGGCACGCATAGGATTTTGTTGTCAAACCTGCTTATAGAACAATTGTTGAAATAGTGCCACTTGCTTTTCTTTTTTTTTTTTTTTAAAGATTTTATCTATTTATTCACAAGAGACACACACACAGAGGCAGAGACACAGGCAGAGGGAGAAGCAGGCTCCCTGCAGGAAGCCCTATGTGGGACCCGATCCTACAACCCCAGGATTACACCCTCAGCTGAAGGCTGCTCCACCACTGAACCACCCAAGGGCCCCTAAACAGTTCCACTTGTTTTTTGAAGACTTCTCAGGGGTGAAGGCACAAGGGTAATTTGTAAATGTTTATTTATTTTATTTTTTAATTTATTTTTATTTGTAAATGTTTAGGAGGGGAATTGAAAATGGAATTTTTCCAAAGAATTTGGGCCCTGCCCCCTTTTTAATCAGGGAGCATCTTTTGGAGCTGGGGTTGTGTGGAATTAGAAGGTGGAAAGGCCATCCCAAAGGCTGCCTTTGGCTTTCAACAAATGTCTGAGTGCCCCACATCAGAGGGACGGATAGGCAGATGTTTGTGCTCCCCCCTCCCCATCAGGCAGTGCTGGTCCACCACTTCCTCTTCAGGATGATGTCTCTTGCCACATCCCCATACCCCTGGGAGAGAGAAATAAAGGAATACAGACGGTCCCTGACTTAACAATAGTTCGACATACGATTTTTTGACTTGGCGATGGTATGACAAGCAATATACATCCAGCAGACACCATACTTCAGGTGGGGAATCTGGATCTTTTCCTGGGCTAGTGATAGACTGTCTGATCCCCTGTGGGGAGGCCTGGCAGCTGCAGCCAGTCGGGGGAGACAGCTGCCAGGCCTCCAGCCATTCTCTACTCAATACAACCACTCCGTTTTTCACTTTGAGTACAGTCGTCAGTAAGGTACAGGAGATACTCACCGCTTGTGATAGATGATGTTTGCCTGGTTGTAGGCCAATGTGAGCGCTCTGAGCATGTTCAAAGTGACCGAGGCTGAGCTGTCCTGTGTGCTGGGTTAGGTGTATTAAATGCAATTTTGACTCAAGATATTTTTGACTTCTGATGCTGGGCTTCTTGGGACATGACCCCATCGTAAATAGAGGAAGGTCCATATGTTTGAGGATGGAAGAAACCAAAAACACGCAGAAGGAAAGAGAGGCTAATAAAAGACAGCTTACCTCACCGTACTCCACCCTCTACTTAGGGCTTCCCCTGGCCCAAGGCTTGTGTGCCTTAAAGGTGTTGGGCCTACATGGCTGGTTCACACACTGGAGGCTAAACACAGCTTGCACGGACAATTTTAAGAGCGACACACTCAACGCGCTTGAACTCTGAGGACAGAGGACTGGAGCGAAGATTAACATGCCACTTCTCCTACTGCGAAGAGATTTCTAGCTATGGCGTGAGTGTGGTTGGCCATGCGGAGGGTTGGGCGCTGGTCATGGAAGGGGAGTATTGCTCTTCCTCTTTTGGGTCAGGGGGTGGGGGTGCGGGGCAAGGCGCTTGGACCAAGGTCTCTGGCCTTGGTTCCTTTGATGGGAGATTCAGCCCACACAACTGATATGCTGAAGGAGGGTGCCACATGCTTGACTGGTATCCGGTTGTCCCCTTGTCACCAGTTCTGATGCTTAGAATCTCTGGCTTAAGGCTTCTGAGGTATCCGTCTCTCCCTCACCTTACCCCTTTTGCTTAGCAAGTGTGGGTAGGTCACATCTAGCGCTCAGTAATTAAAAGGGGTGGGGCTGGATGGCCTCCACCTTGGAGTCATCTCCTGGGTGGGATTTGCCTTACAACTGCTAAGCAGTCGGGCCTTGTGGCGAGCGTCCTTGCTGAAGACTTACCATCATCCACCCCTCTGAAGCTGTTAAAAGCAATGACTTCCCAGGTCCACTGGGGTTTCTTTGTTTTTGGGGAACAACAACAAAATAATATCCAGAAACCCTTGTGGATTTGTCTCTCGAACCTGGCCAGGTTCAAAGGTGCGGCAAACTAGAGGCCTTTCTGAGGGAGGTCGCCCTGGGCCTTCTCCCTGGGTTGCCTGCAGTTTTCAGGGAGCTCAAGATGGCCAGTCCCCTGGCTCAGGTGGGTTCAGGTGGTGATGGGGGGGGGGGGGGAGACAGGCCTTTTCACCCGGGCCTTCTTCTGTGGAGGAACCGACTGATGTGGCTGCGTGGGAGAGGTGTGCAGTCCTATTTTTATTTGTGTCACCACCAGGGTGTCCTGTCGGACTCTCCAAAGGCAGCTGGCTGGGGTGGCTTCGGCAGTGGGTGGCCCTTCTCTGGAGGAGCCCGAGCTCCTGGAGCGGTCGCTGGGGGGCCCTGCGAACTGTCTGTCGGGTTCTGGAGAACTCACGATGCGAGGGCGCGGAGGCCGGGTCCGGCCCCGCTGGAGAGGCCCTCCCGGCGCGGCCTCCGGGACGGGCCTCCGGCTCGGCCGCCTGTAATGGCCTCCCGGCCTCCCTCCCTCCCTCCCTCCCTCGGCAGACACGCGCCGGCGGACGACAGCAGGCGCGGCCAGCGGGCCGGGAGGCTGCGGTGCCTTTGTGCCTTGGCTCCCGGGGCTCGAGGTGGGCGCTGGAGGAGGGCCGGGGCCGCCCTGGGAGCCCCGCCAGGACGCCGTGGGGCGGGGGGGGGGGCGGAACCTCCGCTCCCCCTCGCAGAGCCTCGCCCGCATCATAATTCTTTTTATTTTTACTTTCGAGCCTTGTAAGGCGTGCGGATGGGGCAGGAGCGTTCCGGCGACACGCTGCCGGCCCGCCCGCGTGGCCCGAGCCTGGGGAAGGGGCCGGCTGCGCCCCCCCATCCCCATCCCCGTCCCCGTCCCCGTCCGCGTCTCTATCCCCGTCCCCGCGGCGCCCTGGGAGCCCGCCCCGCCCCCCCGCCCCCCCTCCCCCGCCGCGCCGGCCTGGGCCCCGGCTGCGCCCCCGGGGAGCGCTCGGGCGCGGCGCGCGGGGCCGGGCGCGGCGCGCGGGGCCGGTCGCGGCGGGGGCGCGGGCGCGGGCGGGGGCGCGGGCGCGGGCGCGGGGGCGCCCCGGCGGGTCCGCACCCCGCGCCGCCGGCGGCCCGGCCCACGTTTTCGCTCTCTCCGGCTCCCTCCGCCCCCTCCGCTCCGTCCCTCCCTCCCCTCCGCGCCCCTCCCTCCCCGCGCTTCCCCTCCTCCTGCCTTGGTCATGTGTCGCCTTTTTTTGTTTGCAGTGGAAACAATTTCTCGCCGCTCGGCGCGCCCCGGCCCGACGCGCCGCGGCGGAGGCGAGCGGGAGGCGGGACGGGGCGGGGAGAGCGGCGGGGCCGGCGGGAGGACGCGCGGCGCGCCCGGCGGACGCCGCAGGTCCCATGCCGCGCCGCGACCCCCGCGCCCCTGCCGCCCGCGCCCGCGCCCGCGCCCGCGGCCGCCCCCCGCCGCCCGCCGCCCGCCGCCCCGGGCTCGCCGCGCCGCGCCCGCGCGTCCTCAGCCGGGCCACCGAGCGATGCCCGCTGGGCGCCCGCGAAACTTTGTCGGCTCCCGCTGAAGGGCTGCGGCGCCCCCGCGCCCCCGCGCCCCGCGCCCCGCGCCGGCCAGGTGAGTGCGCCCCCCCTGCCGCCGGCGCGCGGGTGGGACCCGGCGGCCCCGGGGCGGCGGCGCGCGTCCGAGGCCATCCTGCAGGCGACCTCGCCGCCCTCGGCCGGCCGGGGACTCCGCAGTTCCTGGGGGAAGGGCTCGGGGTGGGTGGGGTGGGGTGGGGGGGGGCGGGGGGGCGGCCCGGCGGGGAGACGGCAGAGTCCCCGGAGCCGGGAAGTTGCCCGGTCCGAAGAGTTTCCTGCCCCGACGTGCGGGCTGCTTCGCGGCGCCTCGATCTCCGAAGACGCCCGAAGGGAGCGGACTTGGTATTGTCCGCGGAGGACGGGATCCCCGCCGCCCCGGGGCCCGGGGGCGGGGCGGGGGGTGCCGATCTCGGGGAGACCCCAGGATGGGAAACGGGCTCCTGACAAAGATGCCCCCTCCCCTCCCCCCCGAACCGTGCAGGCTTGGCACCGGCACCGAGAGTCTCCCGAGACCCCCCGAGCCCGACCCCTCCGCGCCCCGGCTCTCTAGGACACCCTCCCCGCGCCCGGGACAAGTTGGGGGGACGGCGGGCTTTTACCGATGTGTTTTGAAGGCTCGCGGCGGCGCGGCCAATAAAAGGTTTATGACATCTGACCGGCAGTGAAGGTATGCGAGCTCCCAATTGCCCAGTAGACGGGGAGCGGAGCGGTTTCCTCGTTGCCGGGCAACGCCGCTGATGGACGCGGGCCGCAGCCAATCGCTGCTCCCGCAGGTCCCCTTGAAATGTTTTTGACAAGTACAGTAGACGGGAGTGGAGCGCGTGCGTGTGTGCGCGCGCGCAGGGGGCTGCCGGCCGGCCCGGCCCGGCCCGGCCCGGGGAGGCCCGGGAGGCCGGGAGGCTCGGGGAGGCCCGGGGACGCTGCCTTAACTCCGTAAAGTTCACTTCCAGCATCTGTTCAAAGCCGGGCCAGTAATGCGGTTGTCAGTTCTTTGGAAACCTTCTGATAGCGGGCAAGAGACCCACTCTCCTGCTGCATTTTCTCCTTTGAAAAGTAAACAAGATAACAAAACACAGCAAGGCGTATAAAAGCAAAAAGAGGGCGTGTGTGTGTGTGTGTGTGTGCATGTGCATGCATGGAACGCAACCAACAGCAAGCCGAAAAGTTGTAAGGAGGTCACTGGTGAATAACTATTTGCGTATCTGGTGGAGCAGCCTTATTGGCAGCAGATTAAAAATGTTTGCTTAACTGCAGACTCACATGATCCGGATTCTCGCTCTCTCTCTCTCTGTCCTCTCTCTCTCTCTCTCTTTTTTTTCCTCCTCTAAAACAGGAGGAAAAAAAGATTTGGCAAATTATGTAGTTAGAGTATAATAATGGAAAACTCCTCAGCTGTGGTTTCTGGGAACTGTTTTTTTTTTTTTTTTTAAATGGAACTGTAGTGATCAGCAGCTCTTGATACGTTGCTATGAAATGCTGGATTTATAGGGTTGCAGTTAACAGTCGGAGAGCATGGGGGGATAGAAACACAAAGCAGACAGATGATGCAAGGGTAGCGGGGGGCCCCCGTCACCCTCTTTTCTTGACAGTGCCATTTTTCTAATAAAACCATACTGCTGGCAATGTTTGTTTAAAACAAAAGGAAACATGGAGTGTAGTGTGTTAGTTCCTTTGGGAAGCTACTGACAAATAAGCAAATTGAAAAGAAAGAGCAGCATGTTGTCATAGCAACAGTGCAATTAAATTACTTTACTGTCAGCCATGATATAATTTTCCTGTTTGGAAGCTCAGGAGACATAAAACTTTCATCTGGAGCTGAAGTTGACTTCAGCGGCTGAGGATTCGTTCTGCTTTGTGTTCTGCGTGGACATTCCTGGTTCGTGGAAACTTAGGGTTTTCTGATGGGGATGCGGGAAAACTTTGAGAGAGACAAGCGGAGCTTTGATTTGTTCATAAAGAAGGTAAAAGACATTATCAGTTTGGTCTCTGGCCTCCCCCCAAACCCCAAACCTAAAGATACAAGATTATTCTTTAAATTGTGTCCTGTAGGGAATCCTGGGTGGCTCAGTGTTTTGACACCTGCCTTTGGCCCCGGGCGTGATCCTGGGGTCCCGCGATCAGGTCCCGCATCGGGCTCCCTGCATGGAGCCTGCTTCTCTCTCTGCCTCTCTTCTCTCTCTCTCTCTCTGTGTGTGTCTCTCATGAATTAATAAAATCTTAAATAAATAAATAAATAAATAAATAAATAAATAAATAAATAGTGTCCTGTAGTACTCAGGTGAGGTTCCTTGTTGGACAGAGAAATAGTCCCTGTGGCTGAACCTGAGATGTGTCAGCTGGCCCACTTCTCTCGGACTTTGGTGCCCATGGAAGTTTTCTCTCTTTGGAGCTGGGGATCGCTCAGCCACCCCAGAAAGCTTTCTCATGCCTTCCGCCAGCACGTTCTCTCTGTCTGCCTTTCGACAGAGGGAGGGAGGGTGCTGCAATTCTCAGGCACCGTCGGCTGGCCGTTGGGTGCTTCGCATTATGCTTTCTAGAATCCCATTCTAGAGCTTCCGTAGCTGAAGTGGCAGTTACTTTCAACACAGTGTCAATGGGCATTCAGAGCCGGAGAATGATCATGTCTGCTTTTGTATCCATTCTTTTTTTTTTCTAGATAGTTTGCTTGATCTTCTTACTCAGGGGGACAAAATAAAGCGGACCTGCTTCTTAAGCCAAGCACATTGTGCGAGCGCTGCAAGCGGACGGTGGGAGACCTCTTTCATTATCTTTACTGTTCTTTCTATCACATTGAGTACTCGAGGGTTGAATATGCTTTGTATCTATCGGGGTCATTCTGTTTGTGGACTTGCCACGTCCTCATTTTCTTTTCTCGTCAGAAGTTGTACTCCCTGTTCTAGGTCATTGATAAAAACGGGGGGTGGCCTGGGGGTGCAGAATAGAACTCTGTAGCCATTTCTGTCGAATTTGCCTTGCAGTCTTGAAGCGGCCAGTTGCTCTGCTGACGCTCTTCACCACTTCTAGTTTCAGTTAATGGCTTGTCTTCACATTCACATTTATTTGTGCGGTGCCCTGAGTTACCCACTTTTTCACGTGGGGTGTAGTGTCCTGACAATCGCATGCACTTTTTCCTCCGGTTCCAGTCTGCAGAATTCCCTGTGACCACTCTTCCACTCTTGCCACTTGCCAACTGTGATTAAAGTTGCAGAGTTTGGGGCCACTGCTTATGAAGAAAAGATACTGTCAAAGAAAAAACGGCCAACCAATGTGGGCCGTGGTCGCAGTTTGAATTCTGGGGCAGTTGTCATGGTTTTCGTGTGGAGACAGCCGAACTTAATCTGAAACCCGGGGCCTTAAACTTACAGGTATTTTCTTTTTTGTGGGGCAAGGATAAACCTCAAGGTAACAGGAGTGGTGCGTGTGCATTTACTTTGTAGTGTCTATCGTGAAGGCTTGAAAGAATTTTACCGGGGCAGATACTCATTGTTTGTAGAGAAACTGAGGCACCAGGAGATAAATGATCATTATCAGCAGGGGCACAGTGAGAGTCTTCATACATCTGGGAGGAAGGTTTTGTCGATTTTCCCATTCTTTTCATACTGCATTTGCATATTGAGATACTGTAAATATTTCCACTTTCACCGTATTTAAGAAGTGACAGTCACTGTGCTACATGCCAAATGCACTGATTTTTACTTCTTAGAGCATTTCTTTGTGGTGGAGGGGTGGGTTTGTGTTGCTACCCAGTTGTGGGAGTCATGAGACGGTGCTTCTGTGGGGCGGGCCAGGGGGAGGGGTGTCCATCCAAGTGGCAGGGGTGGGGAGCGGGCTCCGAAGAAGTAGGAGGGCGCAGCTGCCTTTCCGTTTAGGGGTTCCCCCCAACTCATCTTTTCTTTGTGATGTGTTTACCAGGAGCCTTCACATAAATGGGTCCAGTCATGCCTCCCAGCAAGAAGCCAGAAAGCTCAGGAATTAGTGTCTCCAGTGGGCTGAGTCAGTGTTACCGGGGCAGTGGCTTCTCCAAGGCCCTGCAGGAGGACGATGACCTCGACTTTTCTCTGCCTGACATCCGACTAGAAGAGGGGGCCATGGAAGATGAAGAGCTGACCAATCTGAACTGGCTACACGAGAGCAAGAACTTGCTGAAGAGCTTTGGGGAGTCGGTCCTCAGGAGTGTCAGCCCCGTGCAGGACCTGGACGATGACACCCCGCCATCCCCTGCCCACTCGGACATGCCCTATGATGCCAGGCAGAACCCCAACTGCAAACCCCCCTACTCCTTCAGCTGCCTCATATTTATGGCCATCGAGGACTCTCCAACCAAGCGCCTGCCAGTAAAGGATATCTACAACTGGATCTTGGAACATTTTCCGTATTTTGCAAACGCACCTACCGGGTGGAAAAACTCAGTGAGACATAATTTGTCTTTGAATAAATGTTTTAAGAAAGTGGACAAAGAGAGGAGTCAGGTAAGCCCTTTGTGTCTGGAGCTCACATTTTTCTCTTTTAAATGTGTCATTTCTCCCTGTTTTTTTTTTTTTTTTGGGGGGGGGGTATGCTACGGCATGTAAATTCACCACACCGAAGGAGTGGTCATAAATGAGTAATTTTATTTCATTCATTTGGTTGCAAAGAACTTCCCTTGCCCTTAAACGTCCCAGTTAAAGAACGTTTTTGGTGGTTGTGCTGGACTGAGGGTTTCCCACCGTGGTATCCGAACGTAATCACAAAACGGGAGTTTGCACACTTGATTGGTTCTCGGCATCGTCCCTCGACATAGGTGGGACACTATGGGTTTACAGTGCAAACACAGGGCAGCCGGTAACCGTGAGGTGTGTGTATATACATTTGAGGAGAATTAGCCGTCCAGGGCGGGAGAAAGATGGCATTTCTTTTCTTCCTGAGTATGGACTTGGAGAGAGACCACGTCTCTAGGATTCTGGAATAAATGGACAGTCATGGACATTGGGAGGTGACCAAACAGTATACTCGAGGACCAGACAGAGACGTGAATTGCCCAGGTAACTCTCATCACAGCAGTTGTCTACGTAAGCGGCCACTTTGAAAGACACCCAGAGTATGAAAACTCAGGGTAGGGTTCCAAAAAAGATTGAATTTGGACTGTAAAGCCTTAAGGCCCGGGTTTCCTGGCCTGCCGGAGTGAGATGGTTTCTGTGATTTGCTTTCCCTTTCTGGGAAGGAACATCATCGTAGGTGTGGTAGAAATAGGATGGAGTAGGATGGGCGGGCAGGGCTGGAACACAGAGCGGCGTGCTCGGACTTTGGAGATCCCAAACGTGACATTGCTGCAGCTCAAACAGAAGCTGGGAAGCAGTGTCTACAGCCTTTTCTCACTGTCCTTGCATTTTCCAGCTTCGTTTTTCGTGGTGGTAGCATTGCGGTGGGGAGCTGGCAGTCTGCTCTTTACCCTTTCTAAAGTTCAAGGGTAGGGTCGCTGTTGGGGCCTCTCTTCCTCTCCAGAAACATTTCCAGTAGAATCTCGAGCCTAAGAAAACCCTGCTCAGCTCGGGCATGGAGGCCACATGCCTAAGCATGTGGCAAAGCCATGCTTCCCCTGGCTGCGGCTGGGCACGTTTGTCTGCAAGTGCTGTTCACCTGGAGTTTATGCTCAAGATGGGCAGTGGGCATGCAGGGCTTGAGGGGTTCCCTGGGAACCCCAGGAAAAATGAGGACACTCAGGAGCTTTGCCTTTGGCCACTGGTGTGTGCGGGGCCTGCGTCCAGTGTGCAAGTGCCAGTAGTCCCCATGTCCCGGTTTTTGCGTAACTGACAGTTGTAGGGTGCTGCTGTTGTCCTGGGTGCCCGCTGCTCTCCTTCTTCCCCTCCACATCTCCAGACCAACCTCTGGACTCCGCTCTTGTCGCCCGCTTGACCGTCATTCTTTGAACTTGAAGAGGATTTGCTGCTCCGTTGTAAATACTAAGTCTGTGATATTAAAAGCTGCTGTATCAGTGGGTCCTGGTGGTTGGTTAGGAGGGGAACAGCTTAGAAAAGCCATCCCAAGATTAGAATATAGTGAAGAAAACGCTGTTCAGGTCCCCCCGAGCAATGTGTCACCACCGATAAAGCAACGAACAGCGCTCTTCGTTTGGTGTGAACCTGTTCAGCATGTTACTGCCTGCCTGGCTCTGTGTTTGCCACAAGGCCAGGACATATAAAAGTAATTTAGCAAGTGCTCGCCCTGAAATGTTTAACAAGAACAACTCTGTAAAGTGTGCAGAGAGACTTGGGAGGATTATTCATCAGCCCTCGGAGTAACAGGTGTCTTGGATGGGGTGTGTGTGTTAAGGCACGCTGGCAGGTGTGCCATCTCCCCCCTTTTGCGCCCCCAGTCCCCACTCTGGGAGTCATGTTTCCCTGACTACTGCCTGTTGTAAGGGAATGGCGTTTGGGATTGGAGATTGTTAATCTTAGGAAATGTTCAGTTCTGGCTTCCGAGCCATGCTCACCTGTATTGACATGTTTCTGATCAAATGCTAGTCAGTGTTGTGGTTGGGGGTTGGTTTCCCATCGTTTGTGATTTTGTGAGAACAAAGCCTAGAGTGTCAGTTTTCCTCATTTCTCTTCCTTGCTTGGGCCAGCTGGTGGCTGCATTCAGAGGCATGGATTCCCCGGCACTCCCAGGTACTTCCAAGACACTGATGCTGTAGCCCATCCATTTGGGGTTTCTCCTCTGGCCACCTGAGTAAAGGGGAAGGCATCCTCCCTGCTACTTGGTCCAGTGAAAGCCCCTTTGGCTGTATGGGTAAACTTGTTTTTCCCCCAGGGATTTTACTTTATGGTAGCTCCCGTGCTGAGATTGGGCCCCAACATAGTTGGTCAAGTGCACCCGAATGTTGGTGACAGATACGTTAGTCGAAGGAGAGAATGGAAGGTTTGCACATCCCATTCACATTTTTTCCCTTCTAAAAACTTGGAAGAGGGTTTTAAGCTTGACGGGACTGAGAATGCAGAATCTTATGTGGTCCTTGTTCCCCAAGGGCTTGGAACATGTCCCCCGTTGGACACCTGCCTGCCTGGGATGTGGGAGAGGGACCTTACAGGATTGCACCAGCAATACCCCGGCCACTTCAAAGCAATGAGCATTTCTTGGCTCCTTCCTGGAGATTCTGATTCAGTTGGTTTGAGGTGGGTTGGGGACAATTGGTGGTTCTGATAAGCTCCGTGGATGTTTCTGACTTGCAGCCAGATTTGAGAATCCCTGAACTAGATGCCCTCTTGGGTTCTTTCCAAAGCTGAGATTTCATCGGGAACATCTCATGAATGAGTAAGTCGGAAAGAATAGACAGTTCTGCTTCCGTTTTATCTCTGTCTCTCTCTCTTTTTTTAAACATTTTATCACTCATAAGACTTAGAAACATAAGGACTTAAAAAAAACGGACTGTAAAAGATAGAGTTTTATTTTTATTTTGTAATCCTGGGGAATTTCAAACATACGTGTAGCGAGAGTAGCGTGATGAATCCCTATCACCCCCTTTTGCCCATCACCAGATTCTGTATTTAGCAAGGGCTTTTGACATAAGTCTTTGGAAGCAGATCCTAGATCTCTGGTTGTTTTGCCTTCCGTGTGCAGAAGAATAAGCTCCAGTTCCTACATCACCTCAATGCCAGCGTCCCCCTGAACAAAGTGAACACTTCCTTGGTATCACCTAATACCAAGTCTGTACTCAGAGATCCCTGAGGGTTTACAGAATGTTCGGTTGGAATAGGATCCCAGCATGGTTTTGGCGTGTAGTTGTCCGTTAGGCCTCTGATGTCTGTTTTCATCGACAGCCAGCCCTATGCCTCCCCACTTTCTGATGCCCTTCCTTGTCAAAGAGACCCATCTGTTGGGCTCTAGAGTGCCCCCACGTTCTGTCTGCTTCATTTGAATTTAATCTAGCGTGTTCTTCGGTCCCCTTGTATTTTCCATGAAATAGAAGTAAGGCTGGATCACCTTCTGAGTCCCCCCCCCCCCCAGAATGCTTTTTGGACAGTTCTTCTGTGTTCTCACATCAGGAAGGCTGGTTGGCCCCTCCTGGGGGATGATGCTGAGCTTGAGCCATGGGTTCATGTGGGATCAGCTGCTAGCCACCTCTGGCAAAGTTTTCCATCGGCTTTTCATCTTAAGAGTTTCATCTGTGGACGGACCTCTGCCTGAATCAAAGTAGAGTTTCAGAGTCTGAGAAGAAGTTATATATCCCCTAAATAAGGCTATAAGAGGAGCACATGCTAACCTGAGTACTTGTAAAGGAGGAGTAAAGTGCAATTCCTTTTTATAGGCCGGATGGTAATGGTTCATGAGCGTGTGTTTATTTCTGTGCTTTTTCTTACCAATTTAACAAAAACCATTGTTGTCACGAAAGGTTTATAAAGGAAACACTGTACAAAAGTATGTTTATTATATCTGGGGCTGAGCGCTTTGTTTTTTGCTTTATTGTTATTTATTTATTTATTTATTTATTTATTTATTTATTTATTTATTTATTTATTTTTATACTCTTTATGTGCAACATAGGGCTTGAACCCACAACCCCAAGATGGAGAGTCACACACTCTTCCGACTGAGGCAGCTGGGTACCCCCAGGCTGAGTGCTTTAAACACAGTTTCAGCTTATTAATATGGGCAACTTGTCTTAGTTGAAAGAGGAGTGGATTAGAAGCCAAGATACCTGGTTCTAGTTTTGATGCTGGTGCGGGTAGCTATGTTGGCCCTCAGTCTTCTCATGTATAGAAGCAGGAATTCGTAATTGCTGGGTTTCTTAATTGGGGGTCTTTGGATATCACAGGCTTTGCAGACAGCCTGAAATTATTGACTTCATACCCCGTGACTATGCATGTTGCATTTTCCTGGAGGATCCCAGAGTTCTGTTTGTTCGGTTTTTAGATTCTTTAATGGAACCTCCGACTCAGGAAAAGTGAAGAACCACCTGTGTCTTACAATAACATTAGCAGACATAAATATGGAAATACCTTCTTCGAACTTGCCATATGCAGTATCCTACTTCCTCACTACAATCCTGTGAGGAAGGTCCCATTTTCCTTCTTAGCATAGGTGCTGAGTTGAGCTCAGAGTGGTTAAGAAACTTTCTGGAGGTCACACGGCTGATAAAGTAGGAGAGCAGTAAATCACTCTAATTCCCTCCAGTTTTGAAGGGCCTATCCTTAAATTAACCCGGGTGTTTAGTTATACCTCGGTAGACAGGCTATTGTAGATAATCTCTACATTCTTCCTCAAAATATTCTATGAACATGAGTTATAGGGAACTAAAATGACACCAGTAAACTCAGAATTTACTGTGGGGGTGCAGGGTAGAAAAAGGTAAATACAGAGAGTCTTTTTGTGCTGTTGGGATGGGGCCAAATTCTGTCTTTATCAGCAAATGGAAAGATGGGGCATGTGCATGAAGCCTACCCATGCCCTCTCAGCTTCCGGCTGCCAGGCTCTATCCTGAGCCTCCTCCACTGAT